AACAGTGTCACAACCACCAGCATTCTTCCTCTTCCTTTAGAATTTGTGACGACTTTGATACCCATGGTCCCGACTGTCACACCACCCCCTTGGCTTCATGTTTGCTTATGAACCCTGATGATTCACTCTCACCTGGAGTCCAGGGTTATCTGATCATCTTCATCCTTATCACCCAGATTATCTGCAATCAAATTCAAAACATCGCATTCAGATATCTGGCAGTTCATCTCACCCATTTGGACAGCTGTGGGCTTTCTTGGTGCAGGACAAGCATTATGTGTGTACGGGGTCAGACAGATTTTTGCTTGTCCTTAAGATGTGGCTGACTAGGATTTAAGGGCCCCAACCTGATGGATATTCTTAGTAGAATGCTGGAGGTTTCATTGGGCAAAGAGAAAAAAATTTTCTTACTCATACGAATAGATAGTGGAGAAATCCAGCCACCCTTGGGCTTCACCTGCTGTACCTCCGTCGTGTCACACAGGTGAATCACGGGGCCTGTGACTCTAGAACACCTCACCACTGTACTCCTGTACAAGCTACCTATTTTTCTAATGATGGAAGCAGCAACCCTGCCACACAACTTTCCATATATCTATGAACTTTCTAGGATCTTCCATAGAGCTTTTATCATTTAATTACAGGAAATTCTATGTTACCTGCTGAGTAGTCCACTTTCTCCAACATCTCCCCACTACATGCTACTACAAGAACTCCAGAAATAAAAATGTCTTAATGACTGCGCCCACCTGCAGTGACACACATGAAATCTCACTGCTCAAATGCTACAACTATCATGCAACACATACTGTGAGTGTGTTGTAAGTGAAGAAACAAAAATCCAGGAAGAATCAATCACACCATAATTCACAATAAAATCTATATGAGGATACTTGGAAAATTTTTATCCATAGCACAGGCTGTTATCAGCTATTATGACTCTATCTGCCGTACCCTACTTTCTGGTAAGAGGCAGGACAGATGCTGCCTGATCTTCACCAGGCACATTATCAGGAAGGCAGGCAACAGTGGGAATAGCATGGCCTCCACCAGGTGTGTTTCTCCTCTATCCAGACACCAGCACTTCCTTTTTGCCAGACTCCAAATACAAGGCAGACAGGAAGAGAATAGATACAAAGAATGCTTGTAAAATGCTGTCTGATTAGAGCTGAGCAACTTGCAGTAGGTCAGTGTTAACAAGGGCCTGGGGCCATCTTACCTGGGCTAAGTTTATGGGCAAGGCACTTGGCCATCTTGCACCACTCAGCAAGTTTGTTTCTGTGTCCGTGCACCTGGTGTCTGTGCTGGTTATCTTCAGCAAGGTAGTTGCTGAGATTCTCATGGAGCATGCAGGCAGCATCTTGCACTTCCTTCAACTTCTGCCTTAATTTAGTTTAGTCTTGGGCCTGAACTTCCATTAGAAAATTGAAATCCCTAAGGGTAAAATAAAGAGGAAAATGTGTAATTAGAGCTCAGTGAATAAAAGGACAACACATTCAAAGACATTTCAATAAAAATGGTGTGTTAAAGCCTTCAAAACAAAAATCTGGTATATCATGGGCAACCGTGCATCTGTGTTTTAGATGTCAAGTAGGCAAGGTAGCTCCTGGAGACCTGTACATTCCCAGAGTTCTTTTGTTTTGTGTCTTTGAAAGTTGTGACACAACACACACAGACACATTTTATTCCAAACTGAGATTTCCAACAATCACCTAAAAGGATGCAGGTAATGTAAATATGACTCTCACCTGCTTTTTTCCATACACAAGAGGAAAGGAGTGATCTAGGACTACAAGAAACCTCCTGAGATTTACTCAGACCAACTCCACAAACACCATAAGAAGAATATGGAAACTTTCAAGGAGGATACTGGCGTGGGGGACTGGGGGAACGAAACTGCTGAACACAGAAGTTTATGTTCCCCCTTGCATCATGTAGGTGAATACAGTCCTTGGTGTGTCAATAACACTGCACATCTTACCCATCTGGGTCATCCTTTTCAGAAAGGAGCTCTTTTCCTTCTTTTTCATTATTCCCTTGTTCATTATTTCCTGCAAGTTCAGAAATAGACAATCAGGTATCAAGCAGAACTGGACCACCCAAACCTATATGGGCACGGTGACATAAATACTTAAGCATAACTTTAGGATACACTAGGAGAATTATAACTGAGTGGTCCCGTGTTTTGTCTTTAAATAATTGATCTGCTTTGTCATTATGATCATTCAGAAAAATTAAATTTGATTTAGGAAATCAACATTACAGGATATTCTGTCAATGAATGGGATAAGTTAAACATGCTTTGTGCTCCGTAAGTCATTAGATACATGTACAGATTCCCTCAACTTCTCCAACTGTATCCACCCTTCTGCCACAAGCTTTCTACCAATGTACAGAAGCTGTCCCTTCACAGCTCTCCTAAGCCAACTTCCTTCTCAAAGGAGAGGTCAGGAAGCCCTAACCCAAGACTCTATACTCTTCTCAGAACCCTCGTGAAGACCCTGTGGATTTCTCCAAGAAGATCCTCTTTGTACAAAGTACTTCAGTGCACACTGACATTCTCAACGCCAAGATCCTCCATGTTAAAATCGTGAGTGACCCCAACACAGGGATTTATTATCTCTTTGAGTGTACTAGTAAATACCCCCACATTTGTTGTGATAGATATTGTACAAGACATTCTTATCACTTGACAGATAAAGAAACAAATTTCAGGATAGATCAAAACCTGCCTGTACATGTAACAAAGACAGCACCGGGGACAGATCCTTCAAATGCCCTTCTCTTACCAAAGCTTTGTTTCTTTACAGCAAACCGCATCCTGTCCTTTAACACAGCCTCCACCCAGCATGTTTCTCTTCTGTCTTCTACCCAGCCAGTCCTGATATTTTCACAGCCTACACATGATGTGAACAGCTAGACCTTGTGGAATGTGGGTGGCCCGAGAGGCTGGCCAGTGAAGCAGCTCATATTTTTTATTAGTACAAGTGTGGTGCATAATGTTCACATTCCTGTGGGGAATCAGTATGTGCACATGATACGTCTTAAATCCTTTTCTCATCACCTGTCACACTCCTAACTTCTTTACCTATCTCTGGATCCCCTTCCCTTTTTTGTACACATTTGTAGTGCATAATGTTTACATTCCTTGTAGTTGGTACTCATATATATATGACACATTTTAATTTCTACTTTCTTCTCTTGTAATTCCCTTTCAAGGTAGGTAGGCAGGAGTACTACCTTCAAAGAGGCAGACATTTATCCTCCTTTTCTCCATTCCCTTCCTCTTAGGGAAATACTGATCTCCTCACTTCAGCTCATTTTAACCAGGGTATGTGTCCCATTCACCTGCACTGAGCTTCAAGACAAGATTCTCAGTCATCTGGCA